ATACCGAGAGCCAACTGACCTAACCAAACCCTAGTGTCCAGAGATATCAAATCGTACTCAAAAGTTCTAAGAGAGGGAAATTTGGCCATGGACGCGCTAAGGAAGCAGCTTGATGTTCTAATGGGAGCGAATCGGAACGGCGACGCTCAGGAGGTTACCCGCAAGTACTACGATCGTGTTGTTTGCCGCCTCTTTCTCGCCGGCCTTTGCCCTCACGACCTTTTCCAACTCACGGTACGCGTGAATTCCAAGCTCGTGTCTCTGCAAGTGTTTTCATACGTATTTAATTTGTATATTTCTTCCTATTTTATCCTCAAGTTGATGGCGTGTGGGGAACATTATATGAATTGGTATGTTTAGTTCAATGTACTTCATCATATTTTAGCCATTGTAGTTGTTACTCCAGATGTAACTTGAAGCTGTGCTGAGTCTGCTCGGAAATTAAAAATTGTGTTTATTAATTATGGGAGAGGCTGTGTTGTGTTTATTAGCTACTATTTTGTGTTTTCTTTTTGTATTTTTTTATTTTGTCATGTTTTAACGCAGAAAATGGATAAAGGACCATGCTCGAAGTTGCACTCACTGCAGTTGAGGAGAGAGTATCCTTTATTTGAATATGATTTTGCATGGTTATTTTGATAGCCTTGTTTTGCAGGTGTTGGTCGAAATTATGTAGGCTTGGGGTTTAAAGTTTTGGTTCTTCTGGAACCTGCACTTTGTTTGTGATTTTTAAAGTGGGAGAACTTGTAGAAGTAGTTTGGATGGTGTCAAATGCTGTGCAAAAGGTTAGGAAAGCAGTTAAATGCTTGCTACGATGTGCCGTTTAAATGGTTTTGTCAAATTACTTTTAAGCTCTCTCTCTCTCATGCCCTTATTTGTCAGCATTTAGAAACTTCTAACAGCAAACAGCATGCTATAGATATTTGTGAACTAAATTTTACATTCAAACATCATGCTATAGATATATATCTGCTACCTTGGTTATGTTGTTTATGCGATTGCCGTTTAATTAACAGGATGTGTAGTTTACAATAACAGTTTTTTATTTTCATTGGGGCTGCTTAGCATCTTTTGGCATTTACTAATATTTGCAATGACTGACCTAATGTAATTGCATCATCTCATTGCTGCTTTTGTTTTTCACTATGTTAACTTAACACTCATTTAGATATGAGGAAGCAAAAGCAAAAGGTCTTGATAATTATGACAGGGACTTAGAGGATAACATAGACAGATTAATTGTGGAGTGTGATCGTAAAATTTCCAGAGCATTGAAGAGGCTTGATGAAGAGGATGCTAAAGCAGCTATTGCAATATCTGTATCAGAAGTTACATCGGTATATATATATAATTCTCTATGTTTTATCCCACACATGTATCATGGAAATATATAGTTAGTAAACCTTTTGAAATTGCAGACGCCAGAGATTATTGAGTTGTCAAAGAAAATCAAAGAAAAATTGAAAGAAGCCGATCAATCTGGTATGGTTTCTTCCTGTTATTTACTGATAATTGATGATCATATCATTAGTCCCATGGAGAATTATAGTTGAGTTGATTTCAAGCTCAATTTGTGGTAGTGTGCAATGTTGGTTGTTTAATTCACAATTAACATTTATAGATGAGCATCATCAGGTTATGGGCAATATTTTGTGGAGTTCTGTTCACGAAACACTTGTCACTTTAGTTAATGTGTTGGAAATTGGTTATTGCAAAATGTTGCCGATCATATCACTGAAGGTCTATATGAGGAAATTAGCTAAGATTATCTGGTCTTATAGATCTCGAAGGCAAGACAGACATGAAGATTCGAGCTATGGAAGAGGTTGAAGAGCTGAGAACCAAAAGAGCCGACATGCAGGTATTGAGAGCATGTTTGTTTATGAAAATTTTTGGGTTTTTTTGGATTTTTTTGTTTGGTTTGGTTAATTTTGAAAATGTGGTATGGTTAGTTGTTAGTTGGTATATTAAAATAATATTTAAAATAAACTAATTAAAATTGATTTGATGTAATAGTAGAAGAGAGATGATTTGAAGTGATGGTTAGTTAAAATAATGTGAGTGGATGAATAGTGAATTAAAGTTGATGTGGTGTGTACGAATGATTGATTGATATTATTTAATTATCTTAGCAATATTGGTGATAGTGAGGTTGAGTTAAAAAAAGTGGTTGAGTTAAAATGTTGGGAATTTTTTTGAAAATTCATATAAACAAACATGCTCAACCATTTTTTTTTAACTCAACCTCACTATCACCAATATTGCTAAGATAATTAAATAATATATCATTCATACACACCAATCAAGCTTAATTCAATGATCATCCACTCACAATATTTTGACTAACCATCACATCAAAATTTTAATTATTTTATTTTAAATAATATTTTAATATACCCACTAACAATCAATCATACTACCTTTTTCAAAATCAACCAAACCAAACCAAAAAATCCAACAAAACCAAAAATTTTCATATCCAAACAGACTTTAAGAGTGCCTTTGGGGCATTTACAATCTTGTTTGCTATTTATATTTTTTTGGTTAAGTGAAAAGTAAAATAGTAGTAGCAGTAACCAGAGTATAAGCTTCTAGTTTTTGTTCAAATATCAGTCGATGCTCCTTTTGGATGCTTTCAACAAGGATCGAGCATTGCTTCCGCAGCCCCCTACGAATGCTCCACAGTTGCCCCCCATGCCAGCTGTTGTTCAGGATCCTCATGTACAAGAAATGATTAACGAGAAGCTAAAGAGAGCTGAAGAACTCGGTAAGATATATATGCTTCAGTTTGGGAACGAAGGACTCCTAATCTATATTGAATAATGACTATATGTATGTTGACTATTTTTTTAATGTCTTTTCGTGATATCTGAAAACATTTATCTTGAAAACAACACTATGTAGAGGTTTTTATGGTGCTAAATTTTATATGCCAAGAATTGGTAGTGTGCTTTGGTTTTGAACATCATAATGCGAAATTAAATATAGACAGTTAGGAGTGCCAAATGATGCAATTAGTTCCACCATTCAATTATGCTCTCCCAATTTCCTGAGGTTGATGTTTTTGGCGTTTGGATATTTAGCATCTGTTATATGCTTGCCTCTGATACACCCATTAGGTGAACAAGGATCGGTTGATGAAGCACAAAAACTACTGGAAGAGGCCGAAGCACTCAAGAAGGTTCTATCTACTAAAAATTACTTTAGCATATTGTTGGAAACGTGCATTGTGCTGCTTTGACTTAATCAGCCGTCACTTTATAATGTTGGTCATGTTTCCATTTAAATTTCATTAACCTAACAAATGTGCTCTGGTTTTGAACATTTTCTTCCAATTTATCAGTTGCCGGCTCGACAGGAACCGGTGCTGGATTCATCAAAATACACAGCTGCTGATGTGCGGATTGTAAGTCCATTATCTTCTATTCTTATAATTTAGGTTAAATATCTCTAGTGGCTAGTTCCAATTTCACGTTTCTTTCAAAAAAATTTGTTCCCACAATTTTTACTACTTTGTTAAGACAATTAAATGCAAAGACATGATCAGTCAAGGTTGATGGTATATGATTATTTGTTCTAGGGCTTTTGCTTTCTTGAAAGCTAGAAGCATGACATC